TACAAATGCTGACTGACGGCCTTTGTTACAGGGCTGTAAAATAACCAAATCACCAAGAAAATGTTGTAACGAGTGCGGTAAGTCAATCTTGTAATGAATTATGTTCGTCATTGTGTCTGACAAGGTTTTCTCTTCCTAGTTTCGACTTCATACAATGAAACCTGTGAATATAATGGCAACAGTTACAAAGTACGTCTCCATCAAATTGCTAAGCCTATGTTCTTAAACTAACAATCGACAAACTTTCAAAATTTACTTTTTAGGTTGGTCAAACGTGGAAACCAAACGTTTGCAAAAACTGCTCGTGTGTTAAAAGGGGAGGAGTCGTTTGCCATATTGAGCAGTGCCAAAAGTTGTGCGCTAAGGTAAATATATACGTTTTTATCTTATAGTTGGCAATATTTTGAAATAACGAATAACATATATTATGTCTTCACAGGGATTTCATGTCAATGTTCGTCCAAGTCCAGGAAAATGTTGTCCTAAGTGCAGTAATAGTTTATTTGCATTTTGAAACTTTGGCAGTTTTATTCACTATGAAAATCTTGCTCGTTATAAACTTAGCGACTTCTTTCTTTAGTTCCTCTAACCTGCAAGGCCAAAATTCGATTTGGAGGAAAGCTATTCAAAGATGTCCTCGGCTGCGTCAGTAAAACAAAAAGAATTCAATCGTACTGCAAAGGATCCTGTCAGTCAAACTCAACTTTCTCGTACGCTGGTGGAAAATTCCATCTCATGCCAGCATGCAGATGTTGTCAACCAACTAGATTGTTCAGCAAATCTACAGTCATGGTTTGTCCCAAAGGATACATATGTTTACTACTATCCTGTGGTTAAAAGTTGTTCCTGTAGACAATGTGATGCGGCGAAGCAAGATGAAAACATCGTCAAACTTCTTATGAATATTAAACTCAAAAATTACAAAAGCATGACTAGTATGAAAGGCTTACTTCATTATTACCACAAGTAGATTATTTTCTATTTAGATTTTAGGATGTGACTCGTACTTAAAGCGTGTGTTACGAGAAGATGTAAATGTCAACATTGTATGTTTTATTTTGGTCAAACCAAGAATTTAGCATAGTTTAAATAAAGCAAGCAATATTATACGAAAGGTCTGGATTGTTGTAAACTACACAATGCTGTTCATTAAAATATTCGAAACAAAATCTTTTGACTATATTATTATCGCAAGATACTTAAGACTTTTATTGCGTGCATGATTAGTGAAAAGCGTTGAACATAATTATTTATTATTTATAATAATTAAACTATATTAATTATTTATATATTTTACTTATGACGACTTGGCCGAAAACTGAGTCAACTGACACAAAAAGCCGATGGGAAATACGGATTTCAGTTGTAAACTCAACTATCGAAGTCTACAACCAAATCAATTACCACCTTCCTGACTATTTCTTCCTCTTGAAATTCATTGTTTCTTCAAGAACAATTGTTCATCTCTTCAAATCATGTCTAAATATCTTACCGTTGTTTACTTTGCTCAATAATCATCCCAATCTCTTAGTTTCCTCGATCCTTAACAGTTCTAACCTCTAATGTTCAATTATCTTTAGTATTTCTTCTGTAGTACATATCAGTCACTAACCATGCATCATCATTAGCATGCCAATTGTGATGTTTATCTTTTCTTTATATTTCATTGCTTTCGTTTCGTCACTCAGCACTAACTGAGCACTTTATCCTCACATTTCTTCTGCAGATTCCTTCCACGCGAATTTTCAACCACAACTAGATAACTTAACCTTTATTTCCCTTTATTATGTTTCTCTTGCTGGTAATTTTCCCCACAAATGCCATGTGATCTGCCCAGGATCCTCCGCGAGGATGTGAACTACGACCTTGATTTTAAGGTTCTTTGGTATGTGTACATAACCATTCAAATTTCCCAGCTTATTGTAATTCTCGTCGTCGCATTTTATCACACGCTTCAAGAACACATTGCAGTTTTCAAACTGTGAATAGTCCCTACTATTAAGAATAAATATTTCATCTCAGATATATGTATTCCACTTACCTATTTCTTATACAAGTTAATTATTGGGTAAAATTCAGCGTCTTACAGAGACTATGTTCTTATGCTATTCTAACCATCCTTCTCACTTTTGACGTCCCAGCCCACTCCCCTCGCACCACCACTATCAAACCAAACTGCTAAAGGTTACCCTCTAATACTTCACATGTGCATTTCAAATGTTCTTTCATGAAACTTATGCACATGTACTTAAATGACGCCGTTTTTATGAAATATTTGAAGTATTTGCCTTTATTCCTATCTTCCGGAAACTTTAACTTCCCACATTTTTTTAGTAACTGGACATATTCCTCAACACCCCGCTCAAAATGTTGTCGCAAAATGTGAACGGTAAAATATGCCTCCACCCTACGCCTCCTCCGTCCCTCAATACAACACTACAAATACCACCATTTCGAATTTAGTGCGAGCCTTCGTAATAATCCACCCAGCGGCCTCGTATAAAACAATGCGAATACTTCGTGTAACATATTATAATCAAACAAAGTAATCTTGAAAAGTTGTAGATGAAATGGTGTGGTAGGCAAATTCTCTAAAATTTTGAACTATGCCTAAAGTTAAGCGAAGTCGGAAACCTCCACCCGAAGGCTGGGAGCTTATTGAACCAACCCTAGACGAGTTGGATCAAAAAATGCGCGAAGGTACTCCGAACTCGTTCGTTTTGTTAACGACTTTGATTGTTGTCCTTTGAAATTTCTTTGTATCCGTTGAACGTTGAATCTATGTGAAATATATCAGGATGAAATAACATAACATATACCCTTTGTCATATTGTTTAGCTGAGCAAGACCCTCATGAAGGAAAGAGAAAAGTTGAGGCACTTTGGCCAATCTTTAGGTATGATTTATCGATTTTCACTTATTTGTGTTCTGCCTTGTGAAGTCCTTGGGACTCCTTCAGTAAATACTGTTGAAAAATAACATCCTTCTATACAGAATTCATCATCAAAGGTCAAGATACATTTATGATTTGTTCTACAAACGAAAAGCAATAAGTCGAGGTGAGAAAATTTTATATGAAAATTTTCATTTTTCCTCATCGGACTCATCCTGTTGTCAGTTCAATTATTCTTCGCCCATTGTACATAGAATATATAAAAATCAAACAATATTTAGAGTATAAAGTTTTTCAAACATAGTCTCATGACTGCTTAACGAAGGATGGCTGCCTACTTTTACACAGGTTCAACTGTAATGAACAAATTAGTCATATTAATCCCTAATACAAAACGCTAAATCTAATCTTAATCCTATCTCTAACCACTAGCATAACTAACTGGCAAGCTTATTTATATTATGTAAAGATTTCGTGTTCAATGACTGTAACATCAATAGATTTCTAAAGAAATAAGAATTCTTAATATAAATATCAAAGCCCAGCAAAGTGCTTTTAAAGAGCCATTTAATAAAAAACTTGCTGGGCTTTGATATTTATATAAATAAGCTTCCCCGGTATATCCCTGGTCACAATTCAGAAGAAGTATGGAATGTTAATTGATATCTAAAATTTACATGGCGCGAAACTTGCAGACTTGCTATGTCACTAGCTTGTACACTCACCTCAAAATCTAACCTTACCCTCCAACCCATTTCTTAGCTTTTGGTATCCCATTACTCTTTCATTTTAAGACTGTTCTCAGTATAAAGAAGTTTGTTTTCACTTTGTTGTTTATTAGCAGTTGTGTCAAATTCTCTCAGGTTTGAATAATCACTGCATAATGTCTACTGGTCTCTGCTAATCTATGCATTCAAGTATATATTGAACAGACAGAAGCAGTGTGCAAATTAGTTCAGAAAAAAGCGATGTGCAATTTCTTAGACAAAAGTGTTTCTTTAGAGCATAATCAAATCAATATTACATTAATTATTATATAGTGCTAATTGCTAAATTAATATTTTTAAACTTGGACAAATTCATGATTTCACGACAGTGTTTTTGTTAAAACCGCTAATTTTTGCACATTGTTTGAAAAGTAATGTGTAAATTGCACATTGCATACAAATTTGCACACTGTCTACTGGTCTCTGCTAATCTATGCATTCAAGTATATAGATCAGAAAAGTGTGTATGTTTACATATTTTTAGTCTATTTTATTTTGTTCATCACAGAGCTGTATGAGTATTGCCTCAAAGAAAATATAGCAGACAAAAACCTGATTGCAAAATGGAAAAAACCAGGCTATGAAAGTCTTTGCTGTTTCGTTGCATCCAAACCAGGGACAAACTTTTGCACCAACTGCATCTGTAGAGTACCAAAGTCTAAACTCGAAGAGGTATGTGGAGTTTTTTCCTGTGTTTCAAGCATATTTAAATAATCAGAAAGTATATACACAGTTCATGGCAAACAGGTTTGCTCCCCAGCTGGTCTTGCCTAGCAGATGAGCGATAAGCATGTCAAAAGAGCCAATTAAGCATTTTAACGAAAAACACCGTACATAATATACAATGAGGGTAAAATTCCTGCCTAAGGCATTTACTTTTCTATAAATTATAACATTCAGCTTTGTATGTGAGAAAAATTTGAATTTAATGTTGTAATATAATCAATATTCATTGAGAATGAATGACATTGTTTATTCTGTGCCAGAGGCACTGCAAAGTTGGGAGTCCCCAGCAACATTTTCCATTCTAAGTTATACAAAACAATGTGTAATATGTGTAAAGTCATTTTGGGTGTTTTCTCCAAAAATAAAATCTTGATTGTGCCACTGTTTAGTGCAAATAAGGTTTTTTTGTATGTTTTTGGCATCCATAAGAGAAATTCTGAGCAAACTATTCATATTCTTTTTACAGGGTAAAGTTGTCGAGTGTGTCATCTGTGGTTGTAGGGGATGTTCAGGATAACTTGTGGTCATATAGAGTTCATATTCTTTTTACCGGGTAAAGTTGTCGAGTGTGTCATCTGTGGTTGTAGGGATGTTCAGGATAACTTGTGGTCATATGGAGTTCAAATGATTTTATTTTTAGGCTATGTAAGTCGAGCTAAAACAATTGAGTAATTTAGGGTGATATATTATCTGGCGTTGACAATTGTGGTTTTATGGATTTATAAACATCCATTTAAGCATTCCAGTTACTTCACTTGATAACCTTAATAGGACTCTACTTATTAACATTGCAACCATATTTTGTTACATTGTACATGAAACTCTACTATCCTTCAACTGTAAATAAAAGTTCTACAGCATGTCAATGTTATGGTTGTGGGATTTTTCATACGATTTTCACATTCAATAGACTGAATATTTTCACATATCCTCAGTTTTCAATTCAGCTTTGTTTTGGATTTTTCATTTTCTTCCAACATTCCCGTTTCACTGACAAACCTAAAAATGATATTCACAAAACTTGTAAGTCACCTCAAGCCACGAAGCATGTTTAATTTAATGATATATTCTCGCATTTGGTTAATTGCAACATTTTTCGTGAATGGATATTCCATTTGTCGTCTAATTCGTTCTAATTCAAAACATAGTTCCAGAAATTTACAAATTTATCGTTCCATACCAATTAATTGATAGAAGTAAAGATCCAGCGAGAACTGTGAATATGACAATGTGAATTGAAAAAGTCATAAAACTCAGAGCAACTCCGGTCATCAATAAGAACACAAAGATAACATTTACTGTAAAAAGAAGCTTGGACGAAACTCCTGGCTCATAAATTGACGAAGTTACCGCGTTCAACATGGTTAATCATAGCAACTTTTTGCGTACCGGCAGTGGGTACAATCTCGTACATTACAACCATCGACCGGTAACATGAACTGGTATTGATGTAAGAGAGTACTGAAATGTTTTTGGACTAGAAAATTTGATTTTCGTTTACAATTAGCGGCGTCTTGAAAAGTCATACTTTTCGTTTCATTTTCATACGTTCAAAAGTTGAAAACTATTGACTACAAAAAGTCTCGCTCTTGTATACTACAGATTTCTTGTGTCGGATTCATTATCCGATAGGTTAAAATTTGGGGTACTATATGTCGTATATATTTAGTCAAAACAGCGCTTCCTACACAATTTGGATTATGAGTTGGGACATGCCAACTGAACATTGTTTTCCGGTAAGACAGTTTCGAAAGGTGGTCAAAGTAAAACAAGTGTCTGACTGTCATATTGTGGAATTATGGAGAGAGTATGGAAAAGAGCGAAGTGATTCATAATATTACACAAGATGTATATCAGGTGTGAATTATATTTCATGTTTATATTCAAGCAACGATTCAATTCTATATTGAGTTCTGGATTCTCAATTAAGCATTATGTTGTTCGTCGTTTTAGAGAGTTGTTGATTTGGGGCCTCAACTTCGCGAGTTCACGTCCTTCGCTAAGCAGTATCACAAAGCTTTGCTAGGTTGGTTTCCTGATTTGCGTTTAGTGCTTCTTCTGTATCTTGTGTAGTTATTAGCTTGTTTTCTCTCATTGTGAAGGTGCGTCTGTTGCGGCTAATATTTTCTACCAAGGATTTGCTAAGATAGCGCATTTGGCATCGGAAACGAAAGGATCCAACAAAATGTTGGGTACGTTGTAAAATTTCTTGTATTTTTCCCACATACTAAGCGTTTGTTGACATTGGCATTGACATTGGGATTGATAATCTTTCGATTTAAATGGTAATATTTTTTAAAGATTTTAGCACGGTTTAAAGAAAGTGTTTGTTTACTTCGCAATACTTTGACAAATGGTCGTCATTACCGGTTGAAGATGTCTGAAATGTGACAAAACTTATACCGAGCTTTGGATGTCCCGTTGCTAAGTACATTGAGTTTTGATTCAATGTATTTATAATTACAAGCGCGGCGAATAAATTGCGTTTTCGAATAATTTACCAGCTAAATGCCGTGCAGGGATTTGTTATGTTCAAAAGAACGTACATTTATGGCTTCTAAATTTTTGCAAATTGATGCTTTTTTTATGAACAATCGGTGACCTTGATGAAAACACTTTTATTCCCTATGCGACAAATTATATTTGCATTTTAGTGACAGATCTAATTGTTTTTATGTTAATAGTAATACGCTTAAATTTTTTTGTCATTATCGACTTGCGAGACAGGTTCGTTCCGATTAAAGCCATAAAGCTCTTAAATATGCAACATACATTTCGATCATTTTTCATTAATTGACCCAAGATGTTTAACGTTTTCCAAACTGAACATTAAAAGTATCATTTGTCATCTCTGTTATTTTTCAATCTGATAAAGCAAATTTTCGGTTTCGTTACTTATCTATGACATTTCACTCTTTCCTGCTGTCACTTTTACCCCATTTGTTTTAATGCATTTTGTCACAACTTTTCAGCCAAAGTCAAGAACGTTGTTGATCTCTGACGTCATTATTTTAGGCAAAGCCATCTGTGATATTATCGCGGTGCACAAGCAAATCGAAAGCCAAACCAACAATGTTGTAAGTAAGGATATTTAAAACACCCAGTTTGTCTCTTGTCTCTCCTTAAAATATTCTGTATTTCTTTTAGTTGAAAGCTTTCGCTCAAGACTTCATTGTGCCTTTGGAAAATTGGATCGAGAACAGCATCGTTCAAACTAAAAGTACGAAATTTTGCGTGACTATATTTTGTCATTATTGACCTGGCCTCATCTCCTTTTTTTAGGCCAGACAGAAAACTTATATTCAAGAAAGCAAAATTCTTTAGAGGTACTTTGTCAAAGTTGCCGAAAATTGAAAACTTTATTGTTTTCTGACCATTTTTTTAATTGGGACTTGTGGCACAGTCACATTCGCTAAACTTCGCACTAAAATCTTCGAACTTCGTCGGCGAACTTCGACAATTCGTTTCCAAATGAAAAAAGTCTTAATGTATGACAAAGATTTGTAAACCGACGACTAATTGGCTTTTTTTTTGTAAATAGTCAACCAGAGGCTTTGTTACGAAACCTGTTACTAACTTACAACGCCACAGTTTGCAAATGAATTTGCGAACTTTGCAACGGCGTTCTGAATGTTAACTACACTGTAAAACAGCGCACAAAATGTACAGTTCAATGATAATCGATTTTGTATGTTTTCAGCTGGTCGAGAAGTCCAAATCTGAGCTGACAAAGTGCGGAAAAAAGTCAGCGAAGCAAAACAAGCGAAAATACGACGGGAAAGAAAAACAGGTGAAATTATTACCGCAATTAACGTGAAATTTCTATATGATCTCGGAAGCACGAGATTTATTAAGCATTTGAAATAAACGACAAAATTTTTTTCATAAACATGTTTTGACTTGCATTAAGCCATCTTCAGTATGAGAATGAAGTAAAGTTGTTTATTTCTAAAGTTATTTATTTCTTAAAGTTATTTATCTCTCATACTGGAGATGACTTAATGTAAGTCGAAACATTATGTTAATATGTCGTTTATCAAACACAGAACTGCCCCAAATGCATCTAAATCATGTCTGTCGAAATTTCTCCATAGCGTATAAAATCTTCTAGATATTGGCAGCCTTCGAACAACACCAAGGAAAATTAGATCATTTGAGAGTATCTGGCTGTCACGAGGTATGAAAATGAGCCAGTAGTTTGTAATAAATTGAAAAACCAACTGTTTCAAAGGCTCTATTCCTTTTTGTAAATTTTTAGGCGATGAATGCACAGAGAAACGTCTTCTCTTTCATAATTGAGAAAATGTTGTGTGTATCAAAAATGGATTTGGCTCACCACGAAAAGGTTTGTGGTCTTTATTCACGACACTTTGCACGAGAAAAAGCAACTTTGTTTATTTCAACGCAAGTCCCATTTTTGACAATTCTATTTTGATTTAGTTATGTATTTTGTCTCTCTATTTCAAGGCCTCCAGTCTTTTGATTGCCCGTTTGCCAGTCTGGGATCATTTGACAAAACAACCACTATCGCTCGATGTTAACGTTATTTCTCTAGTAAAGGTATTTGCACACACACGCATGCATTTTGATTTCTATCGAGACACTGAACTGAAATATAATTAAAGTTTGAAGCCAGCAATTTAGCATCGTGTTTTTGAAATTTAAACGTTTAACAATCCTTGTGAGAATTTTCACAAACCGTTATGTAAAATAGCGAGTTCGCTGTTGACTACAAAATTACATCACGCTCTTTTGTCGGGCGAAATAAGTTCTCGCCTTTCGCCAATCTTGAGACCCAAGCATTGAGTTGTACACAATATACATGACTTCAAAATCGTCTGTAGCATTGGGAAAGGAGTTAACATTCCAGTTTATACTGCAGATCATTTTCAAATGTTGACTCTACAGCTCTATAGCTCTTAGTGTTGGAGTTAACATTCCAGTTTACACTGCAGATCATTTTTAAATGCTGACTCTACAGCTCTATAGCTTTAGTGTTGGAGTTAACATTCCAGTTTTTACTGCAGATCATTTTTAAATGCTGACTCTACAGCTCTATAGCTTTAGTATTGGGAGATAACAGTCCAGTTTATATTACGGTTCAGACCAAAGTTTTGCTCCGGTTCTGATGCAAGACAGGCCGAGCGGAAAACGTCCTTGATTCAGCCAGCAAAACAAATTTACCTCTCATTCACAAATAAAACTTCATTGTTCATAATAGCAACTGACGGAGTGCAAAAAATTTGATAAAAGTTTGGACGACTACCTTTCCTCATCTGGTTATTCAGTTGATATGCATAAAGCACCAAGTCCACCTCCGATTGATCCCGATCGAATCCGAAACAAGAGGTTTTCGCAGCAGTTGAGTGTTACTCCAATCACGAATGGGCATTTGAAGGACAAGGAAAGAGAACAGGTTTCAACTCTTTACATATTGAGAGACAGTAAAACTTTTTCTAACGATCAGAACTCAACATTTTATCTACAGGGGAAAAGTGCGGGCCATTTATCGTCACCACGCGGATTCAACCCAACTATCATTTGACAATGTAGGTTAAAACCATAAGCTACCTTGTATAGTTCTTGTTTTATATTGTTTATCTGAGAGGGAAATGATTTTGTCTCCATCTGAAGGTGTTTGCGAGTGATATTTTCTGTAGAGGGCTCTGGTTAGGGGGTAGAGTTAGTTGAATGGAAAGACAGAAGTGATCAAGTGACGTTGTGATAACACTTACAGCATAGAGAGGTTAGCGGGGGTGAGTCAAGTGGAAATACTGAAGTGATCAAGTGACGTTGTGATAACACTTACAGCATAGAGAAGGTTAGGGGGTGATTCAAATGGGAAGACTGAAGTGATCAAGTGATGTTGTGATAACTTACGAACCAAATGGACTGTCTCAGTTGCTTTGATTGTGAAAAGCTCTCAATGTTATTAGCCGATTTTATTACCATCTGTCTCCACTAAGTATATTTGAGCGTCTAATAATCTGAGCGCATATTTTCCTGGTAGCTTTAGACATAGCGACGCTCAATCTTAATCTTCCCAAAACTTTGATAAAATATTATTCTCGTTTCTCTCACTACAAGTCTATGTTTCCACGATCAACTGTCCATCATGATGACTTAACGGATTAAATATATTTAATCATTTAAATATATTTGTAAAAGCTTTAGCTGAGCATAATGAAAATCAAACAAGAATGTATCTCCTCGTGTAATTGCGTATGTCCAGCAGTATTCGTTCCCAGTCCGTTAAAATCTATGCATCTTTTAATTTATTGAAGGGAGATGTGATTAAAGCATTAACTACAGTTACATCAGGATGGCAATACGGCGAAAATACGAGGACGATGAAGTCAGTATTTACTTTGAAATTGCCGCCATTCCTTGTCTTCAATCACCTAGAACCCAGTCTACTAGATACCTGACTCCGCCGAAATTCTATAGTTACGAGTTAGGAAGCCGCCATCTTGAACAAAGGCATGACAGACAATATGTACGAGTAAAATTTGCTTCTTGTATAGTTGCAGAGATGATACTCGCGTTTCTCTAGGTTTTGTTTGAAAATGCTTGATACGTGGAATGATTAGTTATGACTGAGAATTTCCTTTTGGCACTATTCAAAATGGCGTCCTGACCTCACCTTGACTCGGCACCATTGAATTAAAGTACAATTTAGTCATTGAACGAAAATACATGAAACGCCATTGGAAGCAAATAATTGAAGCCGAATCTTTCACACAGACACCTGAGATCTCACCTGAACGCATGTTTAGTGTTTCGAGATTCTCTCGCGGAGTGAGATTGATTGAACTACACACGCGTGTCTGGGTGTAATCTCGCGTGTCTGGGTGTGGGATGGCAAAAGATTATTAGGCATTACAGGTAGCGTTCATATATTTTATTTCAATGGCCTCACCTTGACTCGGCACCATTGAAATAAGTACAATTACGTTCAATGCTCGGCACAGTTAGACATCTAGGGATTGGGTTCTAAATCGTTGATTGCTTCATTCACAATTCTCTCGTAACCTACTTTTCTTTATTTGGTTTTATTTTCTTCGTGAAGGTCTGGATGGTTCCCATCGCGTTTACGAAAAATTCACCGGAAGTGTTGCCTTCAGGTTCGAATTAAATGCCGGACGGAATAATTGTTGAAATTCTTCCACCACATTTCTACGAATGCATTCGGGGACGAATTACCAAAGAGGATAAGGAAGGCTCACTTTACCGGTTGACTTTCAATTCTTAGTGTAGTTAGTAAAATTTGTAGAAAATGTAAGTTCAAAAATCATTAATAATTTCAAACTATCGTCGATCGAATGACGATTTTAACTGCCGTTGATTGACGATTCGTACGTAACTACCGTTGATTGACGATTCGTACGTAACTGCCGTTGATCATTAATTTTTATTGTTGGTCATAAATCCTTTATCGCAATTAGATTTGGTTTCTGCATCTAAAAATCGGGCAAACGTGATTGGTCGTTTTTTGCCACATTCTTTTAATTACCCATAATGCAACACTGATATTCATTTCTTTTGTAGTGTCAGTCCCACGCATTCATTACCTGCCCTAGTTCCAGTTCATTCGCGTCCTTCAGTGTTGCCCGAATCCCATGACTACCCTTCCAATTCCGATAGCCCGGATGGACTGGTAATTCCCGAGAGAGATTATGGAATACCACAAGCGGAACTCAACGGAAGAGGTAACAATAATCGTATTTCATTGTAAGATTTAAAAAAAATTTTTATGACATGTTTTGTTCGTTTTGCAGTTATCATTTATATTTGCACTACATTACTATAGCATCATATACGTACCTTAATTTAGGCAGAATAATTTGGAATGAAACCAATGGTTACTGTTACTGTCCCTCCCCTGCCCTCCTAGTGTTTGTCGCTAATTCAATTGACGTATTCCAGTTGTATACACCATAACAAGCGGTTATTTTTACAATTTGTCTTTTTAAGCCAAGCATCCATCTCCATTTCAGTTAACAACAATTATGTTGTATTAAAACGCAACGATTCTCAATCATCTGGCATTCAGTCGTTAAACAACTCTGCATCATCATTGGAGAGTTCGACACATGAGAAAGACGCCATATTTATGCCGCCGCCACCACCCCTCCCCACCCCACCAATACTAGAAGAAGATACACCCAATGGATTTCCACCACCTCCCCTCCGCCAATGCCTCCTGTATCTGGATCTTTTGATCAGTGAGTAGTTTTGTCATAAATTGAGGCTTACCACGATCGCGTTTATTGATCCAATCTAGAATTGAATCTTTTAGGGACTAAATCAATATTTTGACAATGGCTAAAGTAATACTTGACCGATTTTCGGTAAAATTGCGAGCTGTTGCAATGGTTGTATGATATTTTGTTGTTTGCTGAGACTCGTGCCTAGCTAGAGCACAAATTTCATGAATACTATGTACATTTCAGTAAATCATTTGGCATTTTTCTTTAGGCTAAACCTTTATAAATCTGTTGTTCTTACAGTGTTGTTTACGTTTGAAGCGGCTACACCTGTGCTCATGTATTGTTTTTGAATAAGACTCAGAGACCGACGCGGAAGATTGATAATTTATTTTTTGGGGGTTCATATTCTTATTTTCTTATGATATAATAATCATCATTGATTTCAATAAAAACTCGAAAGTAGAACATGCAGGTATGATTTTTAGCCCCCTTCCTTCAATTGTCGATATTCCACGGTCCTTCAGACTTAAGCTCAGCTACCGAGGTGCAAGTGGTGACGTAGGAAATGTCCCATGATCCTCGAACTACTACAAACGTAAAAGTTTCGCGCGAATCTTTTCATTTCTTCATGGGCTTTATTCCTTTCCTTACAATTACAACATTTACATTCAGAGCTCTGTAATGAGATAGCGAGAAGATGGAAAGATGCGGGGAGTTTGGCTTATGTACGGACTAAAAAGAAGAAACGAGAATTGCTATTCCTTCAAATATACAAAATCGACGATAAAATATGGCTAATATATAAAAATGAAAAGATAACGCTTATACGTAACATATCTATTAGGTTTCGCCGTTCTTTATCGATCACGGTGGAGTTTAAATTCATCATTTCATCACTTAAATTTACGGGATTTTATGAAGATGCAGACAATACAGAGATATATATAAAGTAATTTATGTGTTTGTTTAAAATGTATTAATTTTATAACGTAGAGAGGTATTGGTATTTTGCGTTTTAAATAATTATTAATGGAACTGTTCAATCAATTGCTACCGTTGAGAATATGCTATTAAATGTAATTTTGTATATGGTTTGATCTGTTGTTCTTCCTTAATTTTACCCAAATATTAAGAAAATTTACAAAATAGTAGTAAGAGTATTTATGATGTAAATGGTTTGAACCCGGAAGTATCGTTACATGTTTGTAAATGTAGATCGTCCAGGTTGGTATAGTCCTGAGAAGGACTGTTTTTGTTGTTGTTGACTGATTGTTTTGTTGCTGTTGTTGATTTGTTGTTTTTGTTGTTGTTGTCGAAACGTCAGTCAACAACAACAAAAACAGGCCTTCTCAGGACTATACCAACCTGGACGATCTACATTTACAAACAAGTATTTTTGATGTTTCTCCCTCCAATTTCAGCTATATCTCGAGATAATACAATGCACACTAAACGCGTTTCTTTGATACAACTTTATTAAACAAAAGATTGGCACAAAAGCAATATTCTCGGTAATTTGCAACGTGTGATAAGAGTTACATAAGATCCTCTAATCGAGGAAGATTTTCACTTTCGCCCATAACAACCAAAGAGGGTTTCTTTTGAAAGATTAGCTTGGCTGCCTGTTAAACAAAAAATTTAACGGTCAAACAAGGAAGAGCAGCATAAAAAAACATCAGTTCCTCCGTTGCATTTCAAAGTTCACATGCTGATCACGCGCTGTGAACATGAAAACAAATGTCGAGTTTGCAATATAATTGACATGAAAACTTTGCAATGACTACTTGAACTTTCAAACGACTTCAAGAAATGTTATGCTACTGATATATAACCCAAATTCCTCCCTATATGGCCAGGTTCATAACGTTCCCTCATCACTCTTGCAACGTAAAGACGTATAACCAGGACAAACAGACAATTTCACGTAATACAAAATAAAACAAATTCCGAAGAGGGACATCTCGTTTTCTTGATATTCAAGATAGTACAAGAGTTTGAAACAAAAGATGGTGTAATATTTCGTCTTTATTCCAAAGACATCATCAGACTTATAGTTTACAATGCAAGCTGCGAAACGTTTATATATTTACAAGCGGAAAATATATTTTGTATTACGTAAAGACGTTGTTAAACCAAATTGTTCAGCGGTTAAACTGACCTTTCACTGGGCTTCAGTAATAATTTAAAAAATGACACTTACGCTTACAACATCATCCAAGGATACTTTGTCTATCTGCTGAGCACAGGAATCGGGCGATATATATTGACCCTATGCAGTATCTATAATACACATGAACTTGTAAGGATAGTTACCATAATGTGTAACGATAATTACCACTAACTGTGTCACGACACCATACCTACCTGTGTGCCTATGGTAATTGTACCAACCTGATGATACCTATGCTTATGGTAATTGTACCGACCCGTATGGTAATTGTACCGAGCCGTGTGCTTATGGTAATTGTACCGAGCCGTGATCTTATGATAATTGTACCGACCCATGTGATGGTAATTGTACCGAGCCGTGTGCTTATGGTAATTGTACCGAGCCGTGTGCTTATGGTAATTGTACCGAGCCGTGATCTTATGATAATTGTACCAACCCGTATGCTTATGGTAATTGTACCGAGCCGTGTGCTTATGGTAATTGTACCGAGCCGTGTGCTTATGGTAATTGTATGTACCAACCTGTGTGCCTATATCTTCCAGCTTATCGACAGAGCTCTCGCCTGACATGTGAATGCTTGACTTCAGTTGGTTTCTATTATGAATAATTCATTAACACATGTATAAACAGCAATCGAATGCAGTAGAAAACAAGTAGCGATAACATCTGCTTCTGCGGGCTTTCCATAATTTGCAAAAGTAAAGTAAAAATCAAATTAGGAACAAAAGAGAAAATAATATTTCCCCCTCTTACTTTGCTCGTTGCACTTCTTCTTTTGTGACATCACCTTTCGAAACTTTGGAGTATTCGTCTACAATTGTACGCGTGACCTGTAGATTTTCAAATTCGGAAAACGCGAACGTCATGACAGAAATTGACTTCAAACAACATCATGGCAGCAATAACGTGACGATAAAACTTCATTAGAAACATTAAAACAACATCAATAAGAAGATGGAAATTGATTGAAACATTAGAATAACATTAATAACAAGATGGAAATTGATTGAAACATTAGAACAACATCAATAAGAAGATGGAAATTGATTGAAACATTAGAACAACATCAACAAGAAGATGGCAATAGATTGAAACATTAGAACATCATCAACAAGAAGATGGCAATAGATTGAAACATTAGAACAACATCAACAAGAAGATGGCAATTGATTGAAACATTAGAACAACATCAACAAGAAGATGGCAATAGATTGAAACATTAGAACAACATCAACAAGAAGATGGCAATAGATTGAAACATTAGAACAACATCAACAAGAAGATGGCAATAGATTGAAACATTAGAACAACATCAACAAGAAGATGGCAATAGATTGAAACATTAGAACAACATCAACAAGAAGATGGCAATAGATTGAAACATTAGAAAAACATCAACAAGAAGATGGCAATAGATTGAAACATTAGAACGACATCAGCGTTACGACAGGACTTCATTAGAAACATTAGAGCAACATCAACCAGGATATACAACTCAATTTTTGCCAACGCTACGTAAAATTTAGAACCATATAAAAACATTAGAATAACTAACGAGATGTTTATATTAAATATACAACGTTAACACAATGTTGGAATTTCGTTTGAACGATAAAAAGTTAAAAGCGCTATGTATTAAAAACACGTTGGAAATTGATCCAAAATATTTTTTACTTTTTGAAAACATTGAGATATATTATTTCAGCAGGTTTAGCAACTTTACCTTTGCAGCATCTTTAGGACTTGCTGCTGCATGAAAACCAAACAGCCCAGAATCTGTATAGTTGATGTTTAAGGCAGATCCTTAAATATTAAAACCGATTAATAACTTGGCACTGTACTTCAAAACAATAAGAATTATATTTCAAAGGAAAAGTCTGCATCGTTTACCATAAATGGACCATCAGTAACTTTTTGTACGGCCTTGTTTATTCTGCAACGAGACATTTGAAAAGCTCACGAGTCAATTAATGTACTCTCTCGTATGAGATACTCAGGATGTAATGATGGATTACAAGGTATACTGTGGAAATCTCGTATGAGATACTCAAGATGTAATGATGGATTACAAGGTATACTGAGGAAATCTCGTATGAGATACTCAGGATGTAATGATGGATTACAGTATTGTGGAAATCTCGTATGAGATATTCAGGATGTAATGATGGATTACAAGGTATACTGTGGGAAATCTCGTATGAGATACTCAGGATGTAATGATGGATTACAAGGTATACTGAGGGAAATCTCGTATGAGATACTCAGGATGTAATGATGGATTACAAGGTATACTGTTGGAAATCTCGTATGAGATACTCAGTATGTAATGATAGATTACAAGGTATACTGTGGGAA